GCTACCTATTTACAAAAAGCCAATTCCACATTTCCGGAGTTTTTGCATAGCTCCGACTATCAACGGATTAACGATTTATAGATTTGATCAAAATAATTATTTTACTATATGCAACCTAATTAGAATTAGAGTGTTCGCAACATTTCCTATTCGAATGCCGCATTTATTATAAAACACTTTAAGTTGTAAATTTTTATATAAACGTAGTAAAGCCCTAGGCTCTTTTAAGCAGTAAGAAAATTTAATTGAATTGAATAATGAGATATTTTAATCTAAATCTGTCTTTGCATATTTTTCAAACCGGAAAATGTTATGTATACTTAGAGAACCAACGAAGCAAAACATTTCCATCAAAAATATGCTAAGCAGACATGGACGATTACTTAAATTTTTTTTTCGTTCTAAAGTAATTTAAGTCATTTTTCCCTATGACCTTCTATAATCAATTATATAAATAGGCAATCATGTTTCCTTTACACCCCTTTTACGGCTAAACTGTACTTCTAAGGTATAAACAATTATATATCATTAGAAAGGTATTTTGATGCTGATGTGCAGGCAATTTTTAAAATTTCAAATTAGTTTAAAATAGAGCGAAAAAATCAATTCAAAAGTCTCACCAATACCAATGCCATACATGTACATGGTTGGGGCGGAAATGCCTCCTAAATGTATGCTTTAATAGTGATAGTGAATTAATGAAACGTGCTAAGCAGCAGTTTAGGAATAAGATGTATGTATGTATGTACATGAATAGATTAGCCTCAAACAAGGATGAAGATAATTTTGAGTATGGAGAAGAAGAAAGGGATAAATACAGAAATTAAAATAAAAGTAAACAAACCTAAAGATGATGAAGATGAAGATGATGAAGATGAAGATGAATATGAATATGAATACGAATATGAATATGAATATGAATATGTATATGAATATGAACATGAACATGAACATGAACATGAACATGAACATTAACATGAACATGAACATGAACATGAACATGAACATGAACATGAACATGAACATGAACATTAACATGAACATTAATATGAACATGAAGGTGTAGATAAACATAAACATAAACATAAACATTAAAAGCGATAGAGACAAAGATAGAGAGGAAGAAAGTGATAGGGATAAAAAAGAAATACAACTGAAGAATGTGCGATGTTATATTGTGATGTGTTATGCTACATATGTTATGCTATTGAATCTAATGCTATTCTATGTTATGTTATGCTAAGTACTAAGCTAAACTCCCCTCCACTTAACCCATTCCAACAAATTTTATTTCAGCTCAACTCAACTCACATAAACTATCCTTAATTTTAGCGGTTGAATTTCAAGCGCTGGGCGAACACTAGTTATTATAAATTCTCAAATGCTAATAAAATTCTGATACAAAGAGAGAAAGACTCAAAGCTCTATCCTCATACCATTTACCATGATCCAATAATTAAAGGTTTGCTCAATAGTGACATTCGAGTTTTAACACTCCCTTAACTCCCTTACAAAAGCTTTGCACACACACACGAACCCACATACAGTGCCTTGCTAAGGGAGCCGATTTTGTCAAGAGGTCCGTTTTCTGAGCGAACCTTTTATTATTGAATCATGACCATTTACGAGGTATCGAATGTAAACTTTGAAAGCTCCTCCTGAAAAACTCAATTTTCAAACTTAGCATAGTATGGTTTGGATGCGTCAGTATGATAGCATACATACATATGTATTTCACGGACGTGAATTTGAAATAACTCGAGTATGTTACTAATATGTGTTCTTATTTTGAAGCAAATCGGACAAAAATGGGATTTTCTAGCATGACTCGACCTCTGCGCAACATGCTCAAAAAATTGACACTTTGTGCACTCGTCCTACTAAGCATCTTTCCAACCAGCTACAATCATTCAAATTGGAGAAAATTGCTCCCAACTGATTCTTGCTTGCCTATTTATTTATTGGTAAGCAGTGTCCGCTTCCACTCCACAATGCCTGGGTTCAAACCCTGGTCAAAGCAACATCGCAAAAATATAGAAATATAGGTTTTTTCTTAACAGCGGTCGTCCCTCGGCAGGCAGTGGCAAACCTCCGAGTGCCATTTCTGCCATGAAAAACAGCTTCTCATAAAAATATAATCGCCGTTCGGAATCGGCGTAAAACTATAGGTCCCTCCGCTTTGTGTGACAACATCAAGGCGCACACCACAAATCGGAGGAGAAGCTCGGCCAAGCACTAACATATGTGTAAGCGCCAATATATTATTATTATTATGAGAACATATTGTATGGAACTGAAATCGCCATAACTCGACTCTGAAGGCACCTAACGGGTTCATTTCTCCTTATGTAGCGAATATATATTCTGTGTTTGACGAAAATCGGACCATAAGTGCGATATTTTAGCATAGCTCGACCCCTGCACCACCTATCGGAAATCTTAGGAGAGCATTGTTCCCAATTGATTCATGCTTGCCTATTTATAAGATATAAAGTTGTCGTATAATTATGGCGATATTTGAGGGATTCACAACGGTGTCGTAAATGTCGTATTCTGGTATGTCGTAAACTTTAAAAGTTTAAATAAATGTTTATAGAACTTCAAACCACAACCAACTTTTTTTTTTACACTTCGAGAATACATAATATGACTTTGATGGTACTTTTCGAACCCCCTTAATATATTTTTTAGGCGTTTAAAGTTTGCGACACACAATAATACGATACTTACAACACCGTTGTGAATACCCCAATCGATTTCAATGGCGCATATTCATAGTCATATTTAGTTCACAACTAAGTCGAAACTATCCTAAGTTATAACTAAATCTATTCATAGTCGCCTTAGTTTCGACTTTTCTGGCTAAGTGCCAACTTTAAATTTAGTTTCGGCTGCAGCTGCAATTAAGTCGTAAGAACGCAAAACTTATTTATTATTATTCATACATTTATTTTTACCGGCAAAACTGTTGATTATATAGAAAAACGTTATATGAACAGATTAAAGGAATTGTAATTTTCAATTTTTTTAAATTTGTTTGAGCAAAATCGGACTAGTGGTTCTCGAGTTATGTCAAAAAAAAAGACCACCAAAGGTGACAATTTCCCCTATATGATAGTTACTAACTTCAAATCGATATATCTCGATTCCTAGACATGACCCAGCGAAACGCCGGGACACGTATAACTTCTTTTTTACCGATATAACTTTCCCCGGTAGTTTGAACCCTTCCCGATCACTGACCCCTACCATTTGTCTCACAGTGTAATGAATGATCTCCAATTGAAATTTACAAAGAGCGATCCATTTGAATGGGAAGATGAAATTAAATCCGTTTTACAATTCGAATAAAGCTACATCACAATTTTATAATTGGAATGATTTAGATAAATTCTCAAATAATAAGTCAATTTCAAGCTTACTCTCTTAAAGTAAATAAACAGACAGCATAAACAGACAGCAACGTTGATTCGGATCAACTCGTTAATTCGGAATTATCTCAGGAATTAACTGCAGTTGATCCGGATAGGAATCCAATTTAAAATGAATAAGAACTTATTTCGGTGACTGCATTACCGACGACAGGGTGGATGTCTATGCTAGTTTTGCAGCTTCTGTGTGTTCTACGCTAACTGAGCAAATAAAGCAACCGATTCCTTCATCCGCGGTAGCCGAGTGGTGAGAGCTGCGTACTACAAGCCTGTAGGTCCCAGGTTCGATCCTCGGTTGGAGCGATTGCACAAAAAAATTTTGTTTTTATTATTTCTTTTATTTTTCTAAATTTTATTTGATTTATATATTTAATTGTTTTTTAATTTTATTTTCTTTGTTTTATTTTATTTCACATTTTTTATTTTATTATTAGTTAATTTAAATTTTTAGAGCTTAATGTTACTAAAAAGTAAAAAAAACTAACTAAAAACAACCTAAAAAAATATAGAAGTTATAAAAGAATCAATAAAAAAAATTAACTGAATATTCTACTGGCCGTGAGATTCGAACCTACGACCTCGCGACTCGTTAATCCGCATTACTGCCGTCTGTCAAGGCACAATTTTGATCAGATCAATTGCGGCGTTAATCCGGATCAACGGTGCCGTCTGTCTATGCTTTTAGTGCATAACATTTAGATACGTGTTTGTATGTTTCACAGCATGCTTCACATCACTGCGGTTGTTCTGGCTATTTCACACAATTAGCAAGAAAATTTTACCTTATTCTTTTGCGTAAACATGCAATGAAAGTAAAAATTACATAAACGGATGATCAAACTTGACATTATTTAATAAAAATGTCATTCGATAAATTGATACATTTTCACACTCGTTTTGCTATGTCGTAAAACTAAGGTAAAACTACTTAGTAGAAGTCTGAAATGCGTCTATGAATAGAAGGGAATTTTAAGTTGGTACTTAAATTTAAGTTGCATCTTTATTAGTTTCGTCTTAGTAGCTGGACTATGAATACGCGCCAATGTGTTTAAGATAACATTCAGATAATAATAATAGATTGGCGCTTACGCAATATGTTAGTGTTTAGCCGAGCTTCTTCTCCAATTTGCGGCGTACGCCTTTGTGTTGTCACAGAAAACGGAAGGACTAACAGTTTTACGCTGACTCCTATCGGCGATTGTATTTTTATAAGAGGCTGTTTTTTCATGGCAGAAATACACTCGGAGGTCTGCCATTGTCACGCGTTAATACAGGGTGACAAGGAATAACGGCGACAAACTTCAACGAGGTCGTACTCGTGAATGCACCAACATAACTGTAAAATTTAGATCACGTTGAATTCTCTACTTAATCTAGTTATCAGTCATTTAGTTATCAGTATTCATTACGCTAGCTAATTAAAAGTTTTGAAATGTCGAACAAAAGAAGTGCTATTTTGGAACTGCATCGCCAAGAAATGCGACAATGTGAAATTGTTCGGTTGCTCAACGTTCCTCGCCAAACTGTTTCCAAAGCAATCCAGTGGTTCAATGAACTTGGCCATGAAGGTGATCGCCCGGGACGTGGAAGAAAACGAACTGTCAATACACCAAGGATCCGCCAGATAATTAAAAAGCGAAATTCAAGGCTTTCAATGAGAAAAATTCCCCGCGAAACTGGTATTGGTCGTGAAACTGTTCGTCAAATTGCGAAAAAGGAACTTCACATTAAGCCGTACAAAATCCCAAGAGCGCAGTTGCTTACGGAAGAAAACAAAAAAGTACGGCTGGAAAGATGTCGACAACTCTTGCGTCGTGCCGCAAATGCTCGCTGGGAAAAATTCTTTTCACTGATGAGAAACTGTGTACCATTGAGCAAGTCGTCGAGCACCGCTAAAATCTCAAATCTGTGATGGTTTGGGCTGGAATTTGTTTATCCGGCAAAACACCTCTGATTTTTGTGGATCAGGGAATTAAAATCAACAGGGAAGTTTTCCGTCGTAACATTTTGGGGGCTGTGGTACTTCCTTGGGCCCAAGAGCATTTTGGCGAACAGGAATGGACATTCCAACAGGACTCGGCTGCTGCTCACAGGACATCAGAAGTTCAAGACTGGTGCAAGGACAATTTTCCGAACGTTATCACAGCTGCAGAATGGCCACCGTACTCACCAGATCCTTATCCCATGGATACGGTGACCATATTTATGAGAGCCGAATACGGGACAAAAATAATTTTGCAAATTCTTTCCACCACAGCTTACAGATCTGAAAGCCTCCTTCAATGAGCCTAGATGTATTAGCCCTGAAACAGCATCCTTTTAGTAAAATCAAAAATTTGTAGGATAATTTTCTCGAGATTTTTACCCCGAAAAATTTGTTTAAAAAATTCGTTAAATTTTAGTATAATAAAGCGCAATATTAAGTCGCTAAGGCTTGCCATTAGTTTTTGGCAATTTTTGTTGACGGTGTTGCGTATTTTTTCGTACAGAGTAAGTGAGATATTGCAGAATTAATTTTTATAGTTTTTTGGCACAAAGTTGGTAATTTGATATTATATGATTTTTGTTAGGAAAAGAGCTTTACTTTCATAAATAATAAATTTTAAATAAACTAAGGAAAATATCCAAAACTTACTAAAATGTCGAGTGCTAATTTTTATTTTAGTCACTGTATGTTATCCTCGATTCGAATCACAGGCATTCAGATTAGAAAATAATAACTGTTTATGGAGAAAATTACGATCACATACCAACATCACTTAAAACTCGTTCATAGACATGCCATTTTAATGAGCTCTTAAGTGGGCGAAATACCAAATACGGGACATTAAAAGAAATACAGAACATTTAGCGTCTCGTATAAAATAAATAAATTAACAGGACAATGGGTAATAAAAGAGGACTGTCCCGTATAATACAGGACGGATGGTCACCGTACCCATGGATTACAGCATTTGGTCAATTTTGGAGACCAGAGCTTGTGCTAAGCCACGCAAAAGTTTGGACTCCCTAAAGCAATCACTGCGCCGTGAACGGGATCTTATTTCGCTAGAGGAGCTGCGTCGTTTTAAACACAAATTAGTAATGCCTAGTACTATTGTAATTATACATAAGTTGTTTCTTTAAATTTTTCTAAAATTATAGAAAAATATGCAAAAATGCTTGTCCCCGTTATTTATTGTCACCCTGTATGTTGTATTTCGCTGCCAACGCCGCTGCGCACGTTCGGCAAAGCGAATCAAAGGAATAAGACTGCGCTGCAAGACACACTTCGCAATATGTGATACTGTGAGTTCGCCCGCCACTGCTTCAGATACATATTCTATGAAAGTATTAGTATCTGTGCTTAAGCAATTAGAAATGAATGTAAGTTTTACCCTGATATGCGGATTTATAAGTATTCTTGCTAGTTCTCTTGATTCCAAACGGCGTGAAGGCGAGCACTTTCTAATAATATCGTCGCAAATTTGTTTATTATTTAAATATATGGGTTGTATTGCGTCAGCTGTTGCCTGAAAAAGAAGAAAACAAATTCTTTACATTAAAATGGTTGTGAAACCTTTTCGAAAAACATTTCATCACACACTTTTTATAACCACATTACAAAGAATACTTATTCAACTCTAGCCAATAACAACTTTATCCTACAGGCTTAGAAACGATATAGCCGCTCGTTGTATATACATTTTAGACTATTCCCATGCTTGAAATTGGGCGGAAGCATATTATTTTGGAAGCCTTGTAATAATAAAATCTCTGGTGGTTTTGGATTATTTAATTTAAAATGTTCTTCCAACTCAGTGTGTCATGAACTCAAGGTATTTTAATAATAATTTCTTATATTAATGTTACGCTTTTATTTTTGCGTTTAATCGCGCATTTTTTGCAGATTCTTCAAAGCTGAAAAATCATACATTCATTATTATGACCTTACGCTAATTCTAAAATCGGAAATGGAGAGATGTAGGAACTGCAGTCTAGAATACAGAAGTGTTATGGAAACTTAAGGAAAATAGGTAAAATTCGGAGAAACAACTGAAAAGTCTGTTGAAGTATTATCACTGATATCACTGATATAAATAAATATTCCAACCAACAAGTAGTTAAAAAATACAAGTTCTAATGCTCTGGTAAATACTCTCGTAAAACTAGTAGGGGAAAAACAATGAAGTGAAAATTGAGGCCCAAAACGAAGATATTTCTCGTAAAATTACCAATAAGTTTGATAATTTACACTTATCAACTTAAAAGTAGTCGAGGACTAGAAGTTGTCATAAAAGGCATCGAGTCCAGCGTGGACTCACAAGATATAGAAAATGCTCTTAGAGAAGAGTGTTTTAAGGTATGCAGTGTTTTCAACATCAAAAATTAAGAAAAAATTCCTCAACCGACGTGCAAAATAGAGTAGGGCTGAGGATCTGACCCGGGTCTTCGAAAAAATGTGTGGGGGTAAAATTTAAGTGCATTTACGATACTATAGCGTAAGCGAACGTACATAGGAAATGCCATATGGTGAAAAGTTATATTATGTATCCGTATCATAACAATAATTTTACGTTCGTAGAAGTATTTTTCCCGCGGCCACACTTTATAACCAGTTTTTATTTGATCGGTTTGGATTTTCATTTCCCAATACCAGGCGCTCCTACATGTGAAGCAACAAGTTTTCCATTTCTACGCACAAAATTGTTTGTATATTTAAATTTTAAAATTTCCCAAAATTCTACTTTGTGAGTCTCCAAGGCCTCTACAAACGAATTAAAAAGTTCTAAGAAACAAACTTGTCGATGCCCTCTGAACCAAAGTACCCAAAATCTTAACGAAATCTTTAGAAGTATCTCATTTCTGTAACGATTTTTTTTTACGAATTTTCAAAGAACATTATATGAAATGGTTGACAAGAAGTCGTAAAGAAATTTCTGTACGAAAAATAAAGTAAATCCTGCAAGAAATTGATCACATAGTAGCATTATTTTCATTGCTTCACCGATTTTTTTCCAAAATTTCGTAAAAGGATCGAAGTGTGCACAGTTTATTTTATTTTAGAAAATTCGGCAAAAAATCGGATGAGATCTTTACGAATTCTTAAAAATTCCTCTACAATTCAGAATACTCTGAAAAAATTGTATGTATGTAAGTGTGTAAGTAGGTTTCTAACTTTTTCATATTTTGGCGCGTTGGCAGAAGTTACTGCCGGCTAGAAGTGTCTGGCAATACTTGATAGTGTTTTTAAAATATTAATATTTAATATTCTTTAATTACATACATATGTATGTACACATATCGACACCTGTAGTGCAATTCACTAACTTTTAACGTTACGATTTTGTAGTTTGCAGTAACGATTGTGTTATTCTGGAGCTCTTTTTTAACGACACTAAACAGCTGACATTTTCTTTTTATTTAAATAAAAGAAATGTGGCATCACAGCTTAAGGAAACGTCAAAAGATGCGAAAAGCACAAAGAGGAATGACGAAAATCAAATAAATTCCGTGCTTGCAAAGTGGTATACACATAGTTTTCAGGATATTTTAATATATTTTTACAAAACGTAAGAGTGCAATGGGGTATAGTCGTTGCGCTGGGTATGCAGTTACAGTTGCATGGCTATACACCAATGATGGGCACACCTAAATACTTTTGTACTTAACGTACCACTTTGGAACTAAATACATACACAAATACTTAGTATTTTGAGATGACTAAAT